GGGCGTGCTTATCATTAAATCAATTCAATCATATGGGTTTTATTTTATCATTTATTTGAAGAAATATAGTTTTTTCAAATTGCTATTGAATTATTACAAATATTATAGAATTTTTTTTAACACATCACCGAAGTTATGCATTTCATTCCATTATAAAAATTGAGATTACAAAATATGAGGAATAATGAGTATAGTATTTATTAATAGATTTTATTTATTATACGATTAAGAGAAAATAATTATTAAGTTTAGAAATATTAAATGAGTGACTCATATACAACCTCATCTTTGGAAAAATATTACATCAGGATTCCTAACGTAGAGCTACGTTCGGAGTCCACTCATATGCGGACACGTGGCTTCAAGAAAACGCATGCGCTTTCCTGTGATCCGACCTGGTAACACAGGATAATATTTCTCCTGTGTTATTATGCGTTATTCAGGTGTTATTGTGGTGGTATTCATGTGTTATTGTGTTCTGAGAATATTTTTGGTGTTATAATAACACAATAACACATGAATACCACCACAATAACACCTGAATAATGCAGAATAACACGGGAGGAATATTCCCCTGTGCTAAAACGATTTTTATTTTTATTTTTCTGTCACCTCCACGTGTCCGCATATCAGTGGACTCCGAACGTAGCTTTACGTTAGGAGTTCTGATGTAATATTTTTCCCTCATCTCCAAGTTAGAACTATAATAAGCACAATAATTGACACATATAATTGTAAGAGTTATTCTTGAATAATCATATTATGGAGACAAATGCATAATTACTTCTATTTTGTGGCATATTTGAATCCAAATAATTCATTTAATTTATTTGATAAAAATTAATTCATCAAATTCATTTTATTTCAAAAGATTTAGTGTTCATTGAGAATCAATTGAAAAATTACATTATCAATGTGCAACAAAACTTTTTGAATGCTTTGTAGAGCAATTTATCCATACAAATAAGATTACTTTATGTTATATATAAGTTAGCATTAGTTTTACCTATTGTTACAATAACTATTGAAATAATTTCTTTTGTTCTATGATTATTTAAGAAAATAAACTATAAAATAGAGTCAGAGATTGGTGATTGAATGATACTCTCGTAACTTATATCGAAAAATAAAATATTATTGTCATTGGTAATGATGTAGTAAAAACTTTACAGTATAAAGATGGTACATATAAATTGTATTCATTTTTTTATCTTTATGTATTTGTTCATGTTCTTTAAATTAATTTGTATGGGAAAAATTTTCCTTTGTAGTTTAATAGGTTGAGATTATCCTAAGAATCTATTGAACTCGACCCTCTTCAATTTAATCGACATGACACTTGTAGCCAGGCAAACTAGCACCATTCGACCCGACCACAAATTCTATTTAACCCAGCCTAGCCAACTCCAGTTAGCCCGACCACAAGCTCTATTCAACCTGACCTCAAGCTTTATTCAGCCCGACCACTATCTCCAGTTCCACTTGGGCAACCCTGTTCGACCCGACTAACTCCAGTTGATTCTGAAATATATTTTTTTTAATGAATACCCCAAAACTAAAATCCACTTAAGATTACAATAGAGCAAATCATCAAATAAACAAATAAGATGAATGAGGTCTCTTTCGGGGGAAATGACATTGAAGGCAGTCAAAGGCGAGGAGTCACACAGGGTAATTTGAGTTTGCACCCGTTTTCGATCGTACTTTAAATGCAACTTTTTAACTTTTTTGAGAATTATAAATTCTGTGATATTTTAATTTTAATTATTTAATAATAACAATCAAAATAATAATAATTTAATACTCTTTCATGTATTCTAGTTTACACCTATTTTATATCAAGAATTTACTTGGAAGTTCTCACGTTTTTTCTATTCAAAAGAACGGCATCGGAGTATCGGACCAACTTCGGCCGAGCGCAAAATAACAGATATAATGATTAAAAAAAAAAACATAATTACATACAGATCACCCAAAATATTGATATTTACAAATTTAACACCCAATTAGCGGAGGGCCAATTTAGGGTTAAAAAATATAGGCCTCTAAATTTGAACTCTGCAACATTCCTCACAAATTATGAGACAGAAGCTTTCCAAAGAGCGGGCTGAAGGGGATTTTGAAAGCCTTAACGAGGTACTCCAGCTTCTCAACCACTCTTCCCCATTCCACCGGCTCTCCCCCTCCGTTGCCGTACAACTACTGGCGATCTTCATCCTACAGGTGACACCCCCTGGCACCGCAAAAGAGAGTGCGGCTATGCTTTGAAGCAACAGTGGGTGATGGCTATGGCATCGAACGAGCCCACGCGCTCGAAGATGGCGCAGCTTCGAATGGCCTGCGAGCAGGAAATACGAGCCTGCCGAGAGAGATATGGACTTCTGGCGACCTCCATTCGGGAGTCGATCAAGTCCATAAAGGCATTAGTTGAAAATGCCCAAATAAATCGAGGTCAGATTTTGCTATTCTAGGGTTTCTCGGCAACGGGAAACCCAATTTGTTCTAGTCGTGCTGTTTCTAGGGAATATTATAACGTGTTTCATTGCTTTTTCTCTACCCATGTAGTTGAATGCCTATAAAAGACATGATAATTTCAAAATGATTTGCTTTTAGATGCTAGTTATAGTTCTTAGCTTTTAGCTGTTCTTAAATTTATGGAAGATAACATTAGTAGATGAACTCTCTTTACAAGAATAAGTATTAATAAATGCATCCCTATATAGCAAGGGTAAGTTTATATCTTAAACAACAAATAATAGAGATCACAAATAATCTAAAATTTTGTTCATGATGTTGATAGTTCTTGCTCCAATGTGCGGTGTTTCACAAACCACCATATTCAAATGGATCTGAATTAGGCATGCATTCAATACATCAAACGCTAAACTTTATATAATCATAATAATTAATCAAGCATATTGTTGTAATAAATGATTATAATAGTTGGCCTAATTTTTACCTCATAACTAACCCCATTAGCCATGCATTATTATTGTTTTCTTTGTTAATATTTTTCTTATAATAAACTTAAAACAAACATTATTACTACAAATTGGTCAAACCTTCATTAGCAACGCAATTCAATATCCCTTCTTTTAAATTAATGTTTTAGTTAAGGGTCAAAATTCAAAATAGTCCCTTGATTGTTCGAATGTGGTCAATTTAATCCTAGAGTACTACATTTCTCTAATTTAGTCCATTGACCTTTCAAAATTGATCCACACTGATCATTTGTGTACTTAGTTGAGGTCAATTTTATATAATTGAGAGACTACAATGGGGATAAATTTTTATCATAATTTTTATATGAGAGCCATTTCGGATTAATTTTGTATATTCAAGAGACTAAATTGGAGAAACTTGATATCTTGAGACACACAGATAGTTAGGGATTATTTTTAGAATATTTTATTTAGTTAAATATTAAGTTTCATAAATTAACCCATCATGTTGTAGTTTATATGTATATACTTATGTGTATATATATATATATATATTAAATTTTAGAATTTTTTAGAGCTTCTACACATGCACAACATTTATCTCACAAATTTAACACTTGGATAGTATCACTTTGAAGAGAAAATCAATCACATAAATAATGCTACGTTAGGATTCAATTAGTTTTGAGTAATCTCATTTCCAATTTAGAGCCTCCTAACACTACCCTATTTCATTTCTATAGAACAATACAATTTAATCAAGCGTTAATAACAATATGAGAAACTAGGATTGAGGTTTACCTTTTAAGCACACAAAGATGAAGGTAGTGGTGGTGTAAAAAGGAGGAGAATAAGAAGTAGACATTGACACTTATATTTTCCCCTTGCTTGGCTTTCTCACCATTGAACTTGTAAAGGTAGGCGTGGTTGCTGATCACCGCTTGCTCATATCTGTATGAAACATGCCGTAGTATTTGACGTAAATCATTGTCTTGAGCCTTGTTATCCAATCTCATCATTACTCATCCTTTCTCACTCACTTGCTCACCCGAGTCTTGCCTTAAGTGCTGATTTGAGAGTTTATATATATAGAAAAAGTGTGGAATGAAATATATGGCCGGGCTTGGTTGGACCGGTGGTCCAAGAGGATTAAATAGGGGTTGTTACTGTCTACATTAACATTGAAGGCATAAGTGTAAAAGAGAAACTACCACATGACTGAACCCATGAATCCTATGTTGTTCGGAGATTAATACTTCTACATCGAGGATCAACCATTTTCATTATATTTTTTTGGGTTATAATTATAAGATATGAAACGCTTTAAGTTGAATGATAAGATAGCTATCAAATTATATAAATTATTACATCGCCTCAACTTCTCTCTAATCACTAGCTTGGTCAACTTACCTGTTTGATTTTGTGCACCATTGATCTTCTCCCATATCGTGGTTACATTATCCAATAATCTATTAATAAAATGATACACTGAATATATTTTGTTCTCACAGGAAAGGAAAATAGTGCGTAGTTTGAGCCTATCATTCTATGATCTAGCATAACACACGTATATATCCACTAATATACAAATTTGTTGTAGTCAATCATGTTGGCAACAATATTTTAGTTTTTCTTATTTTTTCTTATGTCAAAGAACTATTTAAATGATCATTTGCTGTAACTTTTTTAGTTTCTCTTCAAAGTCTTGTCTCTTTAAATATAATTCGACCATGCATTGTTGAGAATTGGACGTTAGTTATGGTCTTATTGGAAAAAAAGGGAGTATTGAAGAAATCTAGGGGTTTATTTGTAAAATCTTGTACCCTATTTAAGCCCATGTTATGAATGTACATATTAGTTTTTTGGGGCAATTATTTCATTATGGTTTTAGAGCCCTAACAACCCTAACCTAACCGTCACTCAGAATCGGGCATACAAAGACCCAAAACTTTCTCTTCCTTCCTCTTCGTTTCCGTCCTCGTGAAGTTGAACGAAGCGAACACAACTAGATTTAACTGGGACGCTAACGGTGGGATCATGATTTGTAGCTTCACGATATAGTCGCGATTCAAGCTACCCAAGGATGTGTTGACGGGATCGCGACGATACAATTACGATTAGAGTTAATTGGGAAGGCAATGATGAGATCGCGACGTACAAACGTGAAGGATCTGTGATATGATCTTTGTGAATATGCTTGGATCCTTGAGATTGAGGATGTCAGGATATGGAGATAGTGCGAGATGTAAAAAATTGAAGCTTTTGGGGAAGATATGTCCCGAAGTTCTTAAGGTCTTGATTAGGCTCATACAAGGAGCTACCGTCTCTACGGGAGCCACTTCCTTAACACATGCTTCGACATAGGTGAAGCTTGATCTCCCTCATATGTATTTGAAGCTTGATGCATCGACTACGTATCTGAGTTCGTCACGTTAGGTCGATGCTGCTCTAATAGAGGAGAGACTAGAGGGATATCTGACCAGGGATGAACTAAATAGTGACAATGCTGATGGAGATAAGTGGAGGACCACAAACTTTTTAATCTATACCTAACAACTCAAATCGATGGTTTCGCCAATTACATCATCAGTAGATGACATTCGAAAGGTGAGGGACATCCGAGCAAAGCTGAAGAGGATTTATGCTGGGATGGAGAAACATACGAGGGTGTTACAGATTTAACGTGAGATAGAAGCAGTGGTACATGGTGAAAGATCGATTCAAGAATACGCCATAGATCTGGAGCTGCTGTGGTAGATCTTGATCACTTCTCACCGATGTCGAGCCGTGGCAATTTGCTTTACACATATGAGGACTATGTAGTTTCTAGCTCATATGGATCTGATCTTTGATTAGAGGAGATCAATTCTTCTAGCTCAACTGACTATCCCTTCAGTGGATGAGAATATTATTGTAATGATACAAGAGGAGAGTTGTGTGAAGCTACACCCTGAGCCGAGTGGATTTTGGGTGTGCGATCCATTTGTATTATAGGTGTCCAAGGGGAGACTCACAAGTGCTACAACTGTAGTGAAGTCGGGCATTTGAGCAAGACCTATTGTAAGCAACTTAAGGGGAAAAAACACAGGTGAATGTGGACAGGGTGGAGGACGTGCTCCTGGCTTTGGTGGTCATAAAGGTGGAAAAGGGGGCTACTAGGCAAGTCTGATGGTAGAAAAGGAGGGAGAGACATGTGATTTTTACCAATGAGGATCATGAGTGTCTGGAGTTGTTGAAGAGAAAACAAAAAGCAACAGGAGATGGGACTAAGGATGCTTCCAACCAGTGTCATTGAAGGGTAACGTTATCACTTATACTCACTCTAACAAATATACTTTTGAAACACATTTTCTTGCCTCTATTTCCACCACAAGATCATCAGAATAGGTAGTAGATTCCGACACGTCTCGACATGTGAAAAGTACTTCCTACACTCCCCTAGCAGTACCAGAGAACATCCAAACTGCTGATGGTGCAACACAATCATTAGTTGGTAAGGGTATTGTGATGATACTAATTATATGACTTTATCCAATGCTTTTCATGCTTCTTTTCCAGTGAACATCTTATCCATTAGTGCCATTATTCTCTAACTAAAATGTGTTTTTCATTTGATGCTCTTAAAATGATTTTTCAAGAGGAAGGGACGGGCCGGACGCCTGAGACTGGAATGTGACATAATGAACTCTGGTACTTGGGCCGGGAGGGGAACCAGAAGGGGATGAATTCAGCTTCGACATCCATGGTAGAGAGTTGTAGAGTCGAGGAATTTGAGAAGAGTGTGGAGGATGTGTTGCTTCTACATCACAGACATATGAAACACGCTTGTTTTAATTTATTAAGTCAGTTGTATCATTCTTTATATGAAAAAGACAAATATACAAAAGCTTGTTTGTAATGCTTGTGGGTTTGACAGGCTTATTAGGAGCTCTTATATCAGCTCTCGGAATAGTTTTAGTATTTTTGACTTGATGCATTCTGATGTTTGGCTCTGCAAGTTCTATGAATGGTTATTGATATTTTGTAATTTTTTTATTGCTTTTCTCGTGTTACTTGGTTATATTTGATGAAAATTAAGGGTGTTGTGTTGCTTGCCTTAAAAACTTTCGTAAGACAATTTAGACTCAATTTGGTGCAGTAGTGAAAGTATTGAGGTCTGATAATAAGAAAGAGTATACTAACAATTGATGAATACTTGTCATCCTAAGAGATACCATATCAAACCTCAAACTACATGTCTATACAGACCAATACGAAATGTAGCAAAATAGAAAAATAAACTCTACTTAGAGGTAGCTCGAAACATGACGATTATAATAAATGTCTCAAAACACTTATGAGATTAAACAATTTTGATGGTTGCTTAATTGATCAACAGGATGTTCTGAAGGGTGTTGGATTTGAAGTCTCATTGTCAGACGTTGAGATAATAGCAAGATCTTCTCATTGAAGTTTAGATGCGTATGTTTTTTGAAAGATAACATACCATCAATAGGGAAGGTTGGATTCTAGAGCTATGAAATGCGTGTTCATAGTTTATTCTTCTACTTAGAAGGCGTATGACTGTTGGAGCCCGAGAGAGAAGATAACATTTGTGAGCATGAATATGCCATTTAGAGAATTTGAACTATATTGCACTGTGGAGGTGACCTCACCCTTCTGTGTCTCATCAGATATTGGAGATATGAGGCAAGATGGGTGAGTATCAATGGTGAGAGAGTGGTACACGTGGGAGCAAAGTTTTATCCTATGATGTGGGATGCATTAGTCGATGAACCGAAAAATGAGGATAGTAAATGTAGAGGTGGTGAGATTCAAGGCTAAAGATGAACTAAGGGTGTATACACGGAAAAAGAAGCAAAATGAGGGAGTCATGCTGACAGTGTCACTTATGCCAGCTAGTCTCTTGTTCCGGTATTCCCCAACTCTTGAGCACCTGCACCATCCACCTCTGACTCAGAACTCCCAGGTGATACGATTCCTCCTTCATCTTCTAACCCCTCAACTTTAAGGAGAACCTCTCGCAACAATGTAGGATATTCTTCTGATAGTTTAAGGTGGCAACATGACATTGCTAATTTTGTTTTATATTCTAACATATCACCTTTACATGGGGCATGCATTGCTTCTTTGGACACTGTCTCTATACTCAAGTGTTATCAAATTGTTAATGAGGACTCAAGTGAAAAGTGGCTATGCACGAAGATCTTAGGGCTCTTGCTAAAGAATGAACATGTGAAATAGTGCCACTACCAGCAGAGAAAAAGATAGTTGAGCGCAAGTGGATCTTCATAGTGAAATAAACTCCATAAAGAAAGTTGGAGCTGTACAAACTATGATTGGTGTTGCAATGTTGCAATCAGACATATGACATTAACTGTAATAAAATCCTTACGCTGGTAGCAAAGATGAGCACAGTGAGGATACCGATTTTTCTGACAGTGAATGGTGGGTAGAGGCTACACTGACTTGATGTGAGAGTGTATTTATTCACGGTGAGTTACTAGAGGAGGTATATATTCGGATACCACCAAGATTCGGTACAATCGAAGAGTGGGTGTAGGCTCAAGAACTCACTATATAGCCTGAAACAGTCTTCTCGAGTCTGGTTTGATAGTTTAGAAAGGCCATGGCGGGCATGTGATATCAACAGATAAATGCAGACTATATTGTATTTTTTTGACAACATGAATGTTAAACTACCATACTTGTTGTGTACTTATTTTGTATGTTGATGACATAATTGTCACCTATGATGATGAGGCAGAGGTTGCCAAACTAAAGGTAAGATTGGGCAATGAATTTGAGGTGAATGATCTTAAACGACTCAGATAATTTCGTGGGTTTGAAGTGACCGTGGACTTGAGGGGACGATCTTGTCCCAGAGAAAGTATGTATAATATCTCTTCACGGAAGCAAACATGCTGGGTGCAAACTTACAACCTCTCAAATTGATTAGAAGACCAATCTGAGTGCAAGGCAGGAGAATCGATTGATTGTGAGGTGTACAAGTGATTAGTGGACCGTCTGACCTATCCGTGTTGCACTCGACCCAACATCTGCTTTGCCGTGAGTGTGGTGAGCCGCTACATGCATGATCAAGTAAAGGTCATATGGATGCATTATATCATATTCTTAGATATCCGAAAAGAGCATCAGGGAAGGGGTTGTTTTTCCAGAAGAATGGACATGTAGACATTGAGGGTTTTTGTGACACTGATTGGGGAAGTTGTGCAGACGACAGATGATCCACCTCAGGATACTATATGTTTGTGCGGGGCAACTTGTTCTCGTGGAAGAACGAGAAACATTCTTTTGTAGCGAGGTCAATAGCAAAGGCAGATTACAAGGCCATGGCCTTAGAAGTTGCCGATATGATGTGGCTGAGAGCTTTGTTGGTTGAGTTCAAGGTGGACCAAGGAACTCAAATGAAGCTTTGGTGGTACAACAAGTCAACAATTAACATTGTCAACAACTTGATGCAACACGATAGATCCAAACATATGGAGATCAATGGATTTTTCATCAAGGAAAAGCTAAATAATAGGCTACTGGAGCTAAGTCATGTAGCTACTGGAGAGCAAATGACTGACTGCCTCAATAAAGGAATTAGTTCATTAGATTTGTCTAGGTTGTGTGACTAGATGGGCTTAGTGGATATCTTTTGCCCAACTTTAGGGGGTGTGCTGAGAATTGGCCCTTATTTAGGATCCTATTGGAAAAAAAGGGAATATTGAAGAAGTCTATTGATTTACTTGTAAAACCTTGTACTACCCTATTTAAGCCCATGTAATGAATGTACAAATTTGTTTTTGGAGCAGTTATTTCATTAGGCATATCTCATGTTTTAGCTTTAGTAAATGCCCATGATGCATGCGTTTGTTATAATAAATGTGTAATTTTAGCCTATGGAGCAATGATCAGCTGTTTAGCACAATCACACGGACGGTTATGTTGATCCTGAAATTGTGGTCAAAGTCATCGAATAGCCTTTCTTTACATATTCTTCCTTATGATTACAGTATTTTGAATTTTACGGCGTAATATCATGTTAAATGCCATATTAAATTGCCATAATATTCTCTTATTTTTATGAGAATATTATGGCACACAAACCAGACTCTCAACATTGTATTTTAATTAATTTTTTTATTTATCCTCACTCATGTCGTTTTTTTATTCTTTTGTTTGACCATGTCTTGTTCCAACACTGCAGGAAATCTTGCTAAGCTCAAAGATCACTTAAAGGAATTGGAAGACAGTTTTCGTTATGCTCTAAAAGGTATTCTCATGTCAGAAAACTTTTTATTTGTAAATATATATCTTTTAAGTTATCTAAACTAGAGAACTAATTTTCAAGACCCTTAGTAAGTTCTTAAGTTGTCTTTTATTGCTTACGTACCAATAAATTTAGGACATTACGAACTCTTTACAATAATAAACGGATGTAAACATGCTGCACATTATTATTACATAAATATGCAAATATATTTAAAATGATAATTGCTATTTTAACTATTGATTAATATTTTATGCTAGTATTTAAAATAATAATTATTATCAAATATCGACATACATTATATGGTTGCAAAAATATATACTAGTACCCAGAAATATGCACCTCAGTCATGCAGTCTCACATGTACACATGGGAAAGACATACATCTATACAAACATTTATTTGTATGCAGATATAAATACTCGAGAAGAGATACATACACACATACATCCATAAAGTAGATTTTATGTCACAAAAGATTAATTTCAACATTTGACTCCAAACAAATTGATTTTGATTTTTTGTCCGTCAAAACCTTGACCAATAATTGAGCAGCTTTTGAACATAATTAGTCATGGCTTTTATTATATTTTGCCTTCCAAACCATCAACTTATCATTCTCCTAAAAGGAAGGTTTATTAGATACTATCATTTTTTGGCTATTTAACTAACTAATTATCAGGTTTGGGCCAGATCATTTTGGTAATTTTGTTTTCGGTTTTAGTAAGTATTTTATGGGCTAAAGGGTGGTCACCTCTAACTACGCAACAGACAATTTTAGTTAATCTGCAATTTTTTATTGTATTTTCTTTTTTGATTTTATATTTCCCTAGATCTTGTGAAGTGTTAAACAATGTTGTTATGAAGTCTTGTTTAGCCTTCAATAATTCTGGCTGCTCCCAGAAATGCATAATATTTTTTGCTGTAACGGAGCATGTTGTAACTATTCTTTGATAACATTCGTTTTATATGCCATATATCCTCTTCAGCGGGATTGCTACCTAGAAGATCATAAATTTCTTTTTTTTTTCCGAAGTATTTGTAGCACTTTTGTGCGTGGTTTTTAGTTCTCTTTGACTTGGTCACAAGTAATTATGGCCTTTTTATTTATCTATCTTTGTAGTAAATGCCTCCAAAGATGCCAAACATACATCCATTTCTGAAGCTATCTCTGCCATGGTAGTAAGAATTGAGCATCTGAAGAAAACAGTTGATGATCAGAGGGCAAAGAAGGATGAGTATGAAGCAGTGCTATCACGGCAGTTACTTGGTAAATGTTACTGCCTAACCTTTTGTTTTTGTCATCATTCTTAAATTTAATCACAATTTGTTATGCTGGTTGGCTTCATTTGCTTGGGATAAAGTTAGCCTTAACTCTAATATGTTTTTCAATTAAGTTAATGGTTATTGTTCATTTTGGGTTGAGTTATCAAAACCAACTTCTAATGAAATAAGTTATATATTGCACAAGGCAAATAAGTTAGGGGTGTAAAAAATTAACCCGATAGACCAACTCGACGTGATTTTGACTCAAAAAGTCCATGTTTGAGTTGACCCGAATAATTTTGGGTTGGGTTCAAATTAAGAATCCCAATCCTTTTTCAAGTCGGGTTCAGGTTGACCTGTCAAACTTGAAATTGAATCAAAATTGGCTTGCTAACCCGGAATCGACCCATCAATCCGAAATTGACTTAAAATCAATTCACCGACTAGGACTGCAAATGAACCAAGCAAAGTTAAGTGGGGCCGTGTTCAAGTTTGATCTTGTCTATAAAATTTGAGCTCAAGTCGAGCTCGAGCTCAAATCTCAGGCTCTTGGGGTTGTGTTCAAGCTTGAGCTTGTTTATAATATTCGAGGTTGAGCCGTGTTCGAGCTCTAATCAAGTTTTGTGTTTATGTTCAAGCTAGTTCTTGTTTGAGTTTGTTTCTTGTTCGTTTCATATGTTAATTGTGTCATTATCGAGCTGATTTATGAGTAAGTTATCGAGCTACTTAATTTCTATCTAAATAACTTTTGTTGAGCCATTTAAAATTATTGTCATTGTGTTATTTAGTTTCTAACTAAATAAGATTTATTGAATAAATTAATGAATAGTGTGGTTGAGTTATTTATTTTCTAATCAAACGAGCTTATAAATGAGTTACTTGTTGAACTTACAAAAATAAATGAGCTTTTAAATAATCTATTAAATGAACAACTAAAATAAACATATAAATGCATAAAATACATGAGCTGCTAAGCAAATAAATATTTATCTTAGTTTATGTACTATAAATTAAAATATAATTTATCTTAATATAAATTAATTTAAAATTATGCTTTTTATGAGCTTATTCATAAGCTTAAATTAAACTTTAACCGATTTTATTCATAAGCATTAAATCAATCTCATATATGAAATTTGAATAAAACTTTTATTGAGTTTCTTGACGAGCTTATTTGCGAGCTTTAAATGGTATTATTTGCAAACATAAATAAATCGTATAAGGAGTTGTCAAGCTTGTCATTTAACAATCGAACATTTATAAAATTGCTCAAACTTATTCAATTAGTTAACCAAACAAATACGAACAAGCTCTTTTCGAGCCGTTACAAATAGCTTGCTAAACGCTCGGTTAATTTGCAGCTCCACTGCTGACCCAAAATTGAATCAAAATCAACCAACAAACACAAGGACCGGAGATTAACTCAAAATCGATCCAATTTTGACCCGAATACGACTTATGTTAATCAGGTCATATGAGTCATGTTTGGGTCAGCGGGTTGAGTTCAGATTGAAAATTTTGACCAGTTTGATATTTGGATTTGGTTCAGATAGAACAATTTTGGGTTGGGTTAATTTTGTGTCAGCTCCAGACTAGCATATATATACTATGATGCATATCTTTGATAATTAGTTAATGCCGCATTCTTTACATGACTGATAATCCATGACATTGGCATTGGCACATAAAGAACCTGTTGTTGACATCTCACGGTAGTTAAATACATTCAATTGAAATAAAAAAGTTGTACTCTAAAGTATAACCAATGATAGGGAGTTTTTTCAGTACTCAATTGAAATAAAAAAGTTGTACTCTAAAGTATAACCAAATGATAGGGAGCTTTTTCAGTACTAGTGTAAAGTATTGTGATTTGCATGAGAGAATCACCAAGTAAAATCCAGTTCTTTTGACTCACTTAAATTTTTACTTGTAGAATTTTTAGTAGTTTGTAAGAGAATCTCATATATGAATTCAAACAAGGATTGCAAAGCTTAAGCCATATTTAGAATCAGTGTTTGTTCTATGCTTTGTGAAACAAGAAAAAAACAAGAAAATGTTTTTGTTCTATTTCAAAATAGACAGGCTTGCTAAAGAAGTAATTGCTATTGAAAAAAATTTTCTATCCATTAACCACTTGGGTTTATATAAGGCCTTACAACGTTTTACAAATAAATCTCTAGACTTCTTTTATATGTTTTGTTTATAATTAAGGCTCTAAGCTAGATATAAATGTCAACATTCCCCCTCAAGATGGGCAAAAGATATCCACACAACCCATCTTAAGCCCATCTTTTCTCATAACTTGTCTAAGTCATTTTGTGAGACAGTTAGCCACTTGCTTGACATTGCTCCAGTAGTTTGTTATTTAGCTTTTCCTTGATGAAGAACCTATCAATCTCCACATGTTTGGTTCTATTGTGTTGACCGGGTTGTTGGCAATGCTGATTGGTAACTTGTTGTTCCACCGCAACTTCATTTGAGCTCCTTGGTCCACCTTGAGCTCTTCCAATAAGGTTCTCAAACACATCATCTTGGCAAGTCCTAAGGCTATGACCCTATATTTTGCCTTTGCTGTTGACCTCGCTACAACCAACAGTTTCTTACTCTTCCAAAAGACCAAGTTGCCTCTTACAAACATGCAATATTCATATGTGGACATTCTTTCATCAACACAACTCACCCAGTTGATCACAATAGCCCTCAATGCCTACTGTCCATTTTTCCTGAAGATCAATCATTTCCCTGACGCACTTTTCAGATACCTCAGAATCTAATACACAACATTCATGTAGCCCTTCCTCGGATCATGCATGTAGCGACTCACCATACTTATTGCAAATAATATGTCGGGACGAGTTTGACTTAGATAGATGAGAAGACCTACCAAACTTGGTACCTCTCACGATCAACTGACTCTCTTGCTTCTGCATTTAACTTTCGTCCAATTGGTCAAACTGCAGGTTTGCATCCCAATGTGCCTATCTCTATGAGCAAGTTTAGCACATATTTTTTCTGAGATAGGACAATTTCCTCTGCTCCACAAGTCACCTCATTCCCAAGAAAGTATCTAAGTTATCTCATGTCCTTGTTGAATCTCGTCTTTAGCAGCGCAATCTCTCCCTCATCATCGCAAGTGACTATCAGATCATCCACAAACACAATAATTATAGTAGTGTGACCACCATTTCGTTGAACAAACACTGTGTGGCCGACATTGCTCTTCTGAGCTTGTCAAACCATGCTCAAGGAGATTGTTTCAAGAAGTACAGTGCTTCCACAATCTACATATCTTGTCCTTTGTTTGGTTTGTATCGAATCCTTTGGGTATCTCGATGTACACTTTCTTCAGTAGATCCCCATGAAGAAACTCATTATTCACATCCAGTTGGTGTAACCTCTATCCACGATTCATAACCAAAGAGATGAGAGTCCGAATGTGCTCATCTTCACCACTGATGCAAATTTCTCATCATAGTTGATGTCATACCTCTGAATGTACCCTTTCGCCACTAATCGTGCTTTGTAGTGATCAATTTTTTTTCTGAGGTTTGTTTCATTTTGGAGACCCATTTGCATCCGATTGCCTTTTTTCCTGTTGGTAGTAACTCGAGCTCTCACATCTTATTTTTCGAGTGCGCACCAAGTTTCTTCAGCATGACAACCATCCACTTTGGATCCTCCTTAGCTATCTACCAACACTTGGGTATATAGACAATGTCGAAGATGAATGAATGCTATGTATACAGGTGATATGTTAGAGTATTAAGATAAACTGAACAATGTCATATGAGAAATCAAAACAATCAGGAGAATAACAATAAAGAGAATGACCTGGATTGTTGCGAGAGGTCCTCCCTCAAGTCATAAGAGTGGGAGGAAAAAAGAGAGGAATCATATCACTCGTGTAAATTTGATTTTGAGGTGGTTGGAATAGGTGTATCAGGAGTGAGGTAGATGGGACAAGGGATTTGATAGCACGAATGGTACGACGGACGTCGTTTCCTCCTTGTATACAATTTAAGCTACCATTGAGTTTAAAACTCACCAAATTCTGGCTCATTTTCCTCATTATTCGGCCCTTCCTCAGCTTCATTTTTCTCATTTTCTGGTTATTCCTCAGCAGATTCTTCCCACACAACGTGGCAAGACATCGTTCTCACATATATTAATCTCTTACCATCACTATTCTCCCTTTCTCGCCTGACAAGTCACAAAGGGTGAGGTCACTTCTAAGGAATAATACTATTTGAATTCTCTAAACCTCATATCCGTACTCACAAACATTTTCATCTCTATTGAGCTCTAACAAATATAATGAACCATAAAAAACACACTTCATAACTCTGGGATCCCACAAAGACACACTTCATAACTCTGGGATCCAACTTCTCTTGATGGTCTATGGTCCTTCACAAAACATACACAACCAAATACTTTCAATGGAAGGATTCTGCGCTTATCTCCTTTCAGCAACTAACAAGGAGGTTGTGACTCCAACACCTTTGAGGGCATTTTGCTGATCAACTGAGCAGTTGACAAAACTGCTTGACCCTACTTGGTGTAAACGAGCCAAACGCGAGCGGACCCAGACTCAACTCGTGTTCGACTCGTTTCTATTTCGAGCTCAAAAAGTGTGTTCGTGTTCGACTCGTTTGCTTAGCGAGCCGAACAC